TTGAATTTCAAAATTGCAGCATTTTGATTCAGAGGGGTTAATGCATAGGAATACCCCTCTGAATGTGTGACGTCAGCGCAGATATCTGACGATTTTTAAATGTTTGACTAAAACGTTTTGTAGCACGCGGTGGTATATGCTGCTTTGCGCGCAACAAATGCCGCACTTTCAAATAAAGTCGCCAGGAACAGCGGAGATCCCAAAAAGTAAACAAAAGTAAAAGTCTAATATCTTGAAAACCGGTCAATATTTTTCGATGAGATTTGGTAGATATTCGTTTTTGCTCTTTCTGAACCGAGCGACATCACTTTCGTGCCAATTCATTAACTTTTTTGAAGGTGGAAGGGTCCCTTTAAATAAGAGTCAACTGATGCCCTTGCTTTGCAACAATGATGTGCCGGAACGCGCTTTATCTAGGCTTGTTGAGGCATATTTTCGCCTCACCAGTTACGTTCTGTGCCCCACAAAAAAATAAAACAAGCCATTTCATTTTCATCATGAATGACGTACGTTTGTAACAGATGCTTCTTAGCACCACCGAGAGCATTAAATCAGCCATAGTCCATTTTTAGCCCATCCCTCCCCAGTCCCACTGCTACTGTCACAGCAATCCCATGTGACGTCACAGTGGCACGTCCGTCGGCGGTGATGTCACACCACCCATCTGATGACGTCACCGGCTAGTGATGAGGTCACCGGCCGGGGTGGGGCGGTGAGGGCCTTCAGTTCACACTCCGCACCTATATGGGAGTGGCGGCGCACCCCGGGCCCGACCGGCCGATTTGCTGCGCTTTCTGCCAGCTCAGGGACACCGTATTTCGGCACGGTATGGCTGTGGCCTGTGGGGCCACAGAAACCGAATTGACTTCGCTTCACAGTAAACACCCACCAGGCCATTTACAGAAAATGTCAGCGGCAGGAGGGAAAGTTTGAAGAGCCAGGTAGAGGGACTAAATGTAGCCAGGTAACTTAAATGGATAGCTTTTATTAATTCCAATCTGCAGCTGAGTGCAGACTCATTACATTCTTTACATTAACAAGCCAACTGCCAAGCTATTTCTGCTTCATTGAAAAGGCTTTTATCTACCACCGACCATTATGGGAAGCAATCACATACCAGCAATTAGCTTCCCATCCAATCTGATAATGGTAGATTCCAATTTGCATAGCCAATAAGCATTCATTAGATTGCGCATGAACCAGTATTGCAGGCATCAATCACATTCCCGCGACTTTAGGAGCCAAGTGGGCACTGTTAAGTGAGAATTTGCACCTCGACTCATCAATCATCTGCCCGGGTCGTGCCATGCATTCCACCGCGAATGGACACTGTTCCTTTCACCTCTCCGAGGGCCAGCGGGGCGGCCGGCAGCAGAAGTGACCCGGCCGTCTGGGACCTGGCTAGCTGAGACTTCAGAGGGAGAAAGTGAGCGCTGGAGAGGGAGCCACACCTCACGTGGCTCAGGAGGGGTGGAGTTTAGCACCTTTCTGCCAGACAGTGGCTTTGAGATGAGCAGGTGTGTGCTTTGGCAGACGAAAGCTGACGTCTGGCGCATTTGTTTTCAACGTATCGGTAGGGAATGGTCGCGAAGCGAGGAAAATGCCAATCGAGACCAGAGATCTACAGTACAAGCATAAATCTGGCCGTCGTGGGCCTCGCTTTAGGACTGAGAGCTTCATGGTAATTGCCGATGAGATAAATACATGTCTCTCTACGAAAGACACAGACCACATTGCATCATAACCAGCAGAACGCCATAAGTATTCCCAAAGTGTCCATCATCTCCGGGGCGTGGCGGCACCACCGGAGGGCGGCACGGGCGGAGCTCACGATTCACGACCGCTGGACATTACATCGCACGGGCGGCGGCGGCGGGGGCGGCCGCACCTCCGCGCCGCTGGGACCGGCACCTGTGACTCATCCACTGACAGGCTCGGGGCTCAGGACCGGTCTGCCATTCATGAGCGCCGGCCGCCTACATGGAGCGGTGAAGGCGGACGGTGCGGCGGCTCCGCTAGGAGCCTCTACTAGGACGACAGCCGACCCATCCTCTCCCAATTCACCAGCCTCCGATCAACCAGTCCTTCATACCTCAGACAGAATAAATTGCTAGTTGAGCCCCTTCGCCGGTCCCCAGCAGTGCCCTAGAGACGCCCCATGAAAACGTTACAGATGGATTACGTGATAGGCATTGAGCCAAAGTTACACATGGACAGCAACATGTTAATTTTTTGGCCGTTCCTCCCCCGGACCACAGACTTCTGGTTGAACACATCCGTTTCCCCATCAGGCCCGTTTGAGCCGGGCAATCTCGACCATAGATAGCTGGCAGACCTCCCGCCTGAAGCGCGACAGCGACCGCGTCACTGCTAGCTGCCTTCGCCACCACAATATTTCAAGATTCAAGATGAGTCCGCTCGTCGATACACGTCCTATAGGACCGATATAGGACCGGGGTCCGTCGCCGCCGCTTGTTTTGAACCGCCCCCGGACAGCGCCGCTACTGCACAAGTCGTTGGTATGCATTCCTAACAGTGCCGTCGCCAGCGATAACAGAATCGAAGCCTGTCGAATCGGTGGCGACGGTGACAGGTTTAGAATCCAGCAATGTCCAACAAGGGATAGTTGCGTTCCTCATCGAACCCACTGAATAGAGATATACCACTGTCAAATATACACGCCAAATCCTCCCCACATCTACCGCTAGGTCCGCCTCTGCGCCGAAGATCACTGGGACCGAGGGACACTCCCCTGATCAACCCTCCCCGGCACCTATCGCTGGGCCCGCCCCTGCGCCGCCGGTGGAGGGACACTCCCCAGTCTGTGAGGGGAGGGGAGGGTGATTGGGGTGGGGGGAGGACCCATCACGGCAGCGCGGTCCGATCACGGGACACTGTTCAAACCGGCTCCCGGGGTGCAGCACGGTGGCAGGGGCGAGCCCAGGCACGGAGAGGGAAAGAGTGGGGTTAGGTTGGGAGCGTTATCACCACTGAACGAGGCACAGCTGCGCATCCTAGCAAAACAACGAAGGGGGAGGGGTAGAGGGACGGAACCTTTATGATAACCGATAAGGACGGAATCGTTTAATTCATTGAGTTCTTTTTTTCCTTCCGTCCCTCCGTCCTTTTTCTTTATAAGAATGGCCTCTGGAGGCCTTTTCGACACAGCTCTAAATAAGACAGGACGCTGACAGCGGCCAGCCCGTCCATAATTATTGATCGCAGCTGTTGAAATTCACACCTGCAATGCTAAGCGTCTACCGTACACGGTTCATCCAGCTTTGATCCTACAACCACTGTCCACCAACAAGGTGCACAGCACCAACTACAACTACCAACTGTCCTCTTGATCCACCATACAGTGCCCATCGCCCGCTGCCCACTTATCACCGTCCACATCCCACCTTCTAGCTTCCAACACATAATAAAAAAAGAAAGACAAACACAATTCTAACGAATATTGTTTGTCTTTTTCGAACAACCTGCGGTTACTTTCTGACATCTACCATTTACCAAGACTACCATCTACCATCTACCATCCACCATCCACCTTCCTTCCGTCCACTGTTGACCTGCCGTCCCGTCCACCAGCCGAGTCGGCCGGTGGACAAATCCAAGGTCAGACGAATCCATCAACATAAACAGACAGTAGGGACGCGGTCTGGACGGCCCGAGCTGGGGCGGTGAGCGGCATAGTGTATAGGAGACCCTGTCTGAGGCTGCAAAGTGCACAACTGCGCCTGTGTAAGGGACTGGGTTCGCTCAGAGGCATGTCCGGTGTCTCGATGATCGGGGCACGGCCTAAGATTAGGACAACGAAAGACCGGGGCAGGCGGTAGAAGAGCGAGATCAAAGCGTAGCGAGAAACAGTGGTAGACCCGATCAGGCTTCTGACTAGACCAGAAGGGCAGATCAAACCAGATCGCACCAAACCAGGCCAGAAGCAGACCACCCAAAGGGGAGTGCCTCCATGAGTCGCAAGAGTCGCAGTCCTGCCCTTACCCCCGATGACCCCACTGACTTATTCGAGCCGAGTCAGACGGACTCAGACTCAACAGACGAGCTCTTGACTCAGTCACCATCGCTTTTCAGCACAGTTGGTAGGTGCTGACCTACCTACCTCATCGGAGCCGTCCTCATCCCTATCACAAGGAAGGCCCCTACCCCTACCCAGAGTGGCGTTGGGGGAAGGCGAGGGGGCGGTCCCAAAACTACCAGCTGCTTATCATAGCAGCTAGAAAATTGAATCAGCATCACCGACCAAGAGCCGGCGATCGGCACCCAATCAGTGGTCACCAGAGTCGGCATTGAGCGGGCGGACGCCCGCATACTCGGCATACCTAGTTCGGTAACCAGTAGTCAGGCTTGAACAGAACTTGTAACCCGCTGATCTTATCACACCCGGATACACAAAAATCTGGGGCCCGAGGACAAACCGATCCCGCGTCCCGCGACTCCGTAATGCATGGCTCACAACCAATGTCCCATGCAACGTTACGTCAACCGGCCTATGGACTCTGGGCCACTAGTTACCGAGGCGGGCGTGTCTCAAGTGTCCGCTGCTCTTCTGCAATCAAGTAGCGTTCTAAGTGTAAAAACACAAATAAAGCTAGCCTCCACTTCCCATGCCAAAACTTCAGCAGCCATGAGCGCTCAAAGGTTTCACCTATGTATGAAGCACCTTCACACCCCGCTCGCTCAACCGGTCCTGTGGCGCAATGGATAACGCGTCTGACTACGGATCAGAAGATTCCAGGTTCGAATCCTGGCAGGATCGAAACTTTTCCGTTTTCACGAGCCATGAATGGGTTTTTGGTGGCCTTGCCAAGCACCCCAGACCTCCTTTCATTAAAATCACGCAAACACATTATTCCCAAATCATCATGCTTAAAAATAGAGCAAACGGAGCCGTCCTCTGCCTGCCGAACTTAATCTTGCAGACGGAACGCTCTTACTTTGGCTGTTGACCACTCTCCGCTGTTCATGTGAGAAAAGGATACACATTGATGGCTCCTGACTTGGTGCCGATGGCCATGAGGCTGAGAGTCGGGTCGTACGCCAGCGCTGAAGGCTTGCTGGGAAAGCCATGCTGCGCAGTCTGCAAAGAGAAAAACGGGGACGAGCGTTAGAGCTGAAAACGACGGACTGCGGGGCGAGGGGATAGCGGCACTGGGACAAGAGGGCATCAATCGACAAATGACAAGCATAAAGTCAACCCACCGACAAAAAAAAAATATAATGCCTATCTAAACAATGTCAACATCGCCCACCCATAACCCATATATCGAGGCGGGATGGTCTACACGAGACACCCAGACGACACAGGTGTTATTTCCCATATATAATGTAGGACAGCAGACCCATGTATATCGCTCGGTACACACACAGCTGTTCCTTTGACAGCTAAAACTGGCCGAGTGTGACTCATCCCACCAACATACAACAGCCCGCAGCCTGTGGTCGGTGGCAGTACGGTCTGCGGTACGGTGGGGCGGCAAGGCGACGGGAGGGGTAGGGGAGAGGGCGGGGTGACTTCTCAGGTTGAGAAGGCGGCATCGGATGCAGCAAGCAGAAAGGGTAGGGAGACAGATATGGGGAAAGGCAGGGGAATTTTTAGTGAGGTGGGGGGCGACTTCTCAATCGGTATGCATTATAAGCATAGATGTCAATATCTGACGATCCCAAACCACAAAACACACATGCGCCCACAAGCACACAAGCCACTTGCGGCTACAAGGGTGGAACAGTCATTTCGAGGCCTGACAGGGGGAGATTTATTTGCAAAATTGATTTTCTGTCGGTATCAAATCGCCCTACCCCAGCCTGCGGACCCAACAGAGGAAACCCGCCACTGAAACTGGAGGTGGCTGTTCGTGCCTGACACGTGAGATGGCTGTCCGACACCACCGCACAGCCGACGTGCCCCAGGCGAGACGAGCAGAGCCGAAACGCAACACCCAGGGTCGGGGATCGTGCGATTGGAGGTGGCGGTCCGCTCTGATTTCGAGAGGGTAGTGTAGGATGCCAGTGAGGACAGAGAGATAGGGGGATATGGCTAGACTTGGTGAGGCAGCCCTTGTGTCACAAACACAATGTTGGGAGATATGTGTTGCAGCCTCAGGGGAACGATGTCAAGTGAGTCATTCAAACACAATATGTCTTTCAAACCCTAGACATATTCAATATTCATCGTCATGTAAATTATACACATTTTAGTTCAGCATGGACCAGTCAAATGAAAACCGCACATTCCCTCTTCTCCCTCCTTTGAATCTTAGACAGCCTTACTCAGTACTCACATCCTCACTCCCCTCCACTAAATTCGTCAACAACAAACCGTAAACACAGCAATTTCAGCCAGCTGCGCCTTCGCTAATTAGTGTCTGAGGGAGGAGGTATCCCCTGTGAGCGGTTGACCCACTGTAGGCCCCACCCAGAGCACAAGCTCGCCAGAGCTTCAGCAGCTCGAGTGAGGCTCCGGAATCCCCTCAGCGGCTCTGGAGAAGCCCTCCGGACACCTACAACGGAAGCCCCGCCGGCGGTCAGCGGCACGCGGCAGATTTCGGGGCGTGGATCAGCGGCTGGTCGGGATTGGGGACACTCAGGGCTGACCCGCTCCCGTTTTGGCAGTCGTAGAGCTGCTGACAGAGAGGAAGGAGGTTAGTTTGGAGAGACAAGGTTAAAGAAGGGTTGAGGAAAACAAATCTGTCTTCAATCGCCAGCGACATATTGCCATCACATTCAGCTCATACAATATGCATCCCGTCCAGCATCAACGCTTCATTTCCAACACCATACGCTATTCGCAATAAATGCCACAAGCCCCAGTTATTCGGCCGTAATTCACGCTTTGCCAGTCAATCCTATTGACATTTCCTGTTCGTTGTCCCGGTATCGAAAGCTGGCACCACCACGAGAGACTGAAACAGCGCTTCTGTCAGCTTTGTGATGTTAACGGCATCATGTAGTTAGCACATCATTTAACCGCCGCCGTCCAGCCCGACCGCCCCCGCCACGGCACTGCGCTCAGCGACTGAACGGAAACACGCACAACAGGCATCTCTGAATGGAGTACCGCATTTTCAACGCTGAATGGATCCTGGATAGAGTGGCGAACGGAACACACCCGGTTTGGATACAGCTAATTACATGTTGGGAGATTCCTGACGCCAGGACAGAGGACCGGTTAGATTCACACTGCTGGTGACAACAGGTGCCAGGTGACAAACGGACGAGTCATCGCGGCATCACGAGGATATTATGTAAGGTCACGGCGAGGCTACTGACCTTTCGTGGTCACGCTGGGGCCACTGGACCCGTACAGTCACGAATAGATTACCACACGATGAGTTAATTTAGAGGCGTCACACGCCGTGCGCATCCTCGCACATCGAGTTTTGTAATAGGCGAGAACCGCTCACGAATAGCTAACAGCTGCTGGCTCATCTTTAGCCTAGTTTTTTTGATGGTTCCAAATCGAAAACGACTAACAGGTTAGCCAATAGCAATCCCTCCCCCCCCCCCATGACATAAGCTGCCGGCTCCTCCGTAGTACGTTGACCGGTCAGTCCGTCCCCAAACAGTTTCGGTGTGCGTGCCCTCACCAGACCACTCCCTCCCACGGTTGTTCTCACGCAGTCCCAGCTACTGCCGCGCTATCAGCGCCTGGTAACAGAGCTCACACATACAGCGGTGTCGGCAAATACAGTCCCATAAAGCCGTGGTTACATTGGGTGGTGGTCAAATTGGGCAGAGAGGACACAGAAGTTACCACTAACTTCTCATATCTCGTCTTTTATGAATACCAAAACATTCCAAAATCAAAGTGATGAACAACGAACAAGCGAGTAGGCAGGTAAGCCTACTGAGGGTTACCCCAGCATCTTGGACAAACCCACCAATCACGGACCACGTGGTGCCGTTTCCATAGCAACGCACCATCCACGGCATCCCACGCTGTTCCCACGCACCGTGTGAGTTTCCCACGGCGAGCGACCCGAGACATGCGGCACACGACGGTACGAGACGAGTCACCGGCGCCGTGCGTCTGGCGCCATGTGTACGACACGATACGGCGTCATGCGATATGGAGCCACGTGTTTGGCGACATGTGTGCGTACGACGCCACATGTCTGGCAGGACATGCGACTCGCCTAGCGACGAGTCATGTGTCTGTGTGAGTCGGTGAGTCTGTCTGTGTGAGTCATGTGACATGTCGAGTCTGTGCGAGTGTGTGTGGGATGGGGGGGGATTAGTGGGATCCCAGCCACCCTCCTCCATACCCAATCGCTAATCGTTTGGTTTCACAGGCCGGGACCGCTTGAGAGCTGGTAGTGTCAGGCCTCTTGAGGTCAATGACTGCCTCTCGAGAGGGACGTGTGAAAACCCCTGCCACCAATTCCACATCACACTCAATCATTGACCAGTGCGGATTGATTACAAGCGGATTACAACGCTGAGCGAATAGTAAAATCTGTTCAAGTATTTACTTGCTCATTTATCCCAGGTCAATGCTATCCCAAATCCACATTGACGCAACCAAAGATGGGAAACGCTGCTAGGAACCACGCCGCGACCTGCGTATAACTTTGCACCCAGACCTCAAGCTTAAGCGTCAATAACATCGCTTAGCCAGCCACGCCGGTCTGTTCCGTCACAGGACGCCGAAGCGACAGGGACGTAAGGCATTTTCCGCCTGAAATGGCGACATGCCTCCAAACATTGCGCCGCACAGGAAAATCGTGCAGCCCATGTCATCACTGATCCATGGACTCCGAACACTGGTAGGGTTGTAGATCACTGATCAGACTTATTGCTAGCATATTGTTTATCAGTTTAACGGGTTCCTTTTACCAGCAGAGAGTGCCCTACAGCCCCTGACCAATGCTTCTAAGCATTGTGATGAAGGGACTATGCGGTGAAGGACGTCCTCCCACTCTAGGTAGAGGTCCATTTGCTCCTTCACTAAAGCATGCGACTGAAAGAAATGACAAGGCAAGTGCTTTGCAGGCCAGCACCCCACCCCCTTCCCACGTCGCACAGCCAGTCTGTGTCCTGTGGCAAATCTTACCAAGTGGCATCTCAGCTCCAGTTTTCGGGGGTCGAACTCCTCGATGGTCTCTATGCGCGGCCGACGACGCACGGTTTCCACTAGGGCCTTCATGACTGGCCGAGGGGCGGAAAAAGCCGCTGCGGGGCCGTCAGAGAAGCCCTTGGGCAATTTTCACCGCGGGAGAAGCAAGGAGCACCCGCAGCTTCGGTCGCGTTGACTCACGATGTTGTATTTGGGGGTGGTGCTTTCACTCGTAAGAGCTCCAATTAGCTCCAGAAGTTGGAAGACTGGGCGGCACGTAGCTTCGCACTACACCACTATTCAGCTCAGCTCCACTTGATTTTCAACTTTCGGTAGCTCTCCGTGCCTGCGTCTCACTACATTCATCAGGTCAGTGCTGTTTCAGCCTCACCACGGAGATTCCCAGTTTTCACACATCACGCACGAGTAAGCGCGTCAACGATTGCCACCCACTCCGCTGTCCTGGTGCTGTGGTCCTGGTCCAGGTCCCACGACCCGCACACACACTACACCCCGAGCAAGGCCACAGTGGTCCGTCGCCCCGCGCACGGCCGCACCTTTTACCTGGTGGGCCTGGCCACTCCACCGGACAGGACAGTTTGACAACTCACTGTTCCATAAAGGATCGCCGGGCTCCGTCACCACCTCGGAAATACAGCCAACGATCAGTGATGATCGGCCAATCACTAACCATCAGAGAAGATCATCGCTCATCACTTCAATCACCGCTGATTGTGTCAACGAACTCGACACTCCAGTGCAACACCAGTGCTCGCAGCTGGCTGACCAATGAAGCCAGCAACCAGCTAAACAGCCGTGATTCACACCCAGACTGCACTGGATCCGACACAGATGTCAGCGCGGACTGCCGTATTACCGTAACCACCACGTTTCAGCGCTCACCACCGACAAAGTTCAGCTCTGCCCACACTTCCTCTCTGCTCAAACCAGTCCTGACTGCTTACTACATTTAGCACTTCTTCGTCACTCACAAAAAGCGGACCTTGCTGCACACACAACACAAT